AATGAACATCTGATTGACTTTCAAGATACATTGCTTGCACCCTATATATTAAGTTCATGTTTGTCTTTCTATTATAATTTTATGAGTTTTGATTCATTTTACTATGTAATTTATTTTTTATTTTTTCCTCAAAATTTATTATGCATTATTAATTAATAAGGAGCAATGTAATACCATTCTGATGATTGCACAAACTCTGTCTATTTGACACCGTTGGATCACAGGGTGCAAAATAGCATAATACCTGAGATGTATGTCTATCAATTGAGGAACAAATGCCTGAATTCACCATAGGAAAGACAATGTGCATATATTCATGTACAGTATAATGTGTGTAAATTCTGTTTACTAATTTGAGATCCTCCTTTCTTTGTGTATCTGTAGTGGAATATTAATATACTCTCCTGTCCATGTATAATAATTATTTTGTGAACTGTGCTTTAGTGAAAGTGTCAGTTTTCCTGGTTTTAGCTCACCCTAACAAACATTTAAAACATGCTTCTATCACTTGATCCTGGTTGTGAGGATTTACAAATGTTATTGCTAGCAACTGGCTGACGTTATTATAGTTTATGGAAAAAACAGTGCATATATAGTTTATGTATCACAAGCTTTGTTTGTGGTTGCCGAATAATAGAGCAGAAAAAATTGTGACCCACAGTTTTAAAGAGAAAATATCCATCCAACTTCAGGATTTTTAAATAAAATGGTTTCACTAAGTTGCTGAGCACGTTATCCAGAGTTTTGAGGAATGTCAGTGTTTATTTTGCAGCCAAATAAATTGTGCATTAATATTCACAGCTAAAGATGATAGCTGCAGTGAGCCATCTGCAGCCAGGCTGCTGAGAGTAGCTGTGCTACCTCTGTGGGGGCCGTCCCAGGTTGCGCAGAAAGACAGTAGCAGAAAGCATACTCTGCTGTCAGATGCCGCAGATACACTTCTGTAGTACTGATTTCTTAGGCCTTAGTAATTATTTTAAGGTAATTTGATGACAAATAGAAGAAATATTAAAGAATCTGTTATTAAATAATATCCAAAATTTACTTGGTATCCAACAGTGATAATAATAATAAGTGATCACTCCTTTTAAAGTCTAAAGAGGAGAGAGGAAATATTGGAAAATACTCTAAAGCAATACATATTTGAATTGAAAGGCTATTTTTCAGACTAGAAGAAGTGGCAGACCTTTAGGTGAGTGGGAGATGAGGCACTGTGGCACGAGAGCTCTAGTCACAGCACAGGGCAGGATGGGAACATAACTTGATGGAGCACATGTCCATCCAGATGTCATGGCTCACAGGACGCAGTGGAGTCATGTGGGCCGAGAATAAGAACCCACAGGCTTACTGTACAAGGACGAGATGAAGGTATGATGAAAGAAAATGTCACCAACAGCCAGGGTGGGCACCCGCGAGGGCAGACTCCTGACTTGTTCTTTTGATGTTCCATTATTCAAAGCAAGGATGCCACGTAGTTGATCAGAGATTCTGTTATACATCTTATATACATTTTATGCTGGTTGGAGGTTTGTTTTCCTTTTGTTGTTGTTGCTGTTGTTTTGAGAAGCTTTCATTCTGTTTTGAAGCTAAACAATTTAGTAGTTCTGAGAAGGAATAAGTTCTAATTAGAGGCCTTCAAACTCTACTGACTCACTTCATTACTTAGATACATAAACTTGACTAACTTGAATTATTATGGAAGAAACACTTAAAAATCAGAGTATAACTTTTTGGTAATGGATATTTTGACACATTTATGAAAGTAGCACCATGAATTGAAATGCTGCATGTGAGGCTCACAATTAAACTTTCAAGTAGTACCTCTTGAGACATATAAATAAGACATTTATGATTATCCAGCAAAAGCCTTAGCTAGTGAAAATGCATGATCACATTTCCCAGGTCTGGGGCTAATAAAGGCCAAACACAAAGGAAACCCAGGGACTGGGTAATCAGAGAAGTGTGCTACCATAATCTGTGCAGACCTGGTTTAGAATATGTAGTGACTTGAGAATGCGCAGAACCCATTTCTGACTTCTCTCCTACCCCCATTTATGTAGCATATTAAGTCAGAAGAGTAAGTGAATGATGACCCTGATGCCTTCATAGGGTGAGCTGAGTTACATTAGCTCATTGGTACTTACATTTGAAGACAGGAGGCCTTCCAGGACTCACAGATGCAGTCGCGGGCTCTCCTGGTTCCCTTTGCGCTGCTCACACCACTTTGTTGACATGGATGCAGGTGAGTGTGTGCAGTGTTAGGGTGCTGTGCTACCTATGACAGGACCTGAGGAGTTGTTCGCAAGGCCTGGGGAAGCTGTCCTCTCTGAATCAGTTTTGGTCTCGGGTGTTATCTTTCTGTGGAGTAGGAGGAAGGGATAAGTTCACACTCTTCAGAGAGAACCACTGAGGGCTGAGGTAGAATGAAGACCCAACCTGTCATGCCTAGCAAGGGCCCCAGCTGTGCTGGAGACCTAGGCACAGTGTCTCTGGCAGCAGGTGTGGGAGGCAGTGACGGCAGTGCATTTACCGAGCTCCTTCTCAGAACAGGGGGTGAGTGTTCAGCTTTTCAGGTAAACAAATCAGAAATCACGTCCAAGGGAGGACAATATTCCCTGTGAGCAGACGTTGTGACGAGGGGAGCCTCTTATCATTACCAGACAATGCAGCTGTCGGCGGCCAGGGGCACAGAACAGCTCTGGAAGAGAATGGCCTGCTCCGCAGCTGGGAAAACGGTCTGGCAGTCAGCAGAGGTGCAGATGCTTGAAGAGCAGTCTCCCATTCCCAAGGAATTTATTTAATTTAAATCACCTCAGAAGTATTTGTGTCCATGATACCTAAAATGCCAGTTAGACTCCATGGGTCATGGAGCAAGGCCTTCCCACTTACTGTGGACAGACCTGGAATAGCAGAATCACAGCTTCCAGCACGAGAGCACCACCTGTAAAAGCTAACGACGTCAGAGGTGTGGACAGGCCTTGAGGATAGAGGAAGGTGCTTAGGGTCAACTGTAGTGGAACTGTAAAAATGTTTGGTGGATAATACTAACCGGATGAGAGAGTGGCTTTGGAAAGCAAGACAGTTAGTGGAACTGCCCTCCACAAGCAGTGTGGGCCCAGCTGTGAATAACTGGGGTGTGGAGAAGTGTGACCATGGGGTTCCTTGGGTGGAGCTGCACAGCAGAGCCCTTGCTGCTCATGCTCTCTGTGTGTGCAGTACGAGACACCACCTGCTGGACTACACAGTGAGGGGCTCTCAGGGTGCTACATGCAGCTGGCTGTGGCTTTGCCTTTTGCCTAATGTGTGGAAAGACCTTCTCTCTCTGTCTCTCTTCCTCTCTCTCTTTGCTGGTCATTTAGGGGATTGGTAATGCTGCTGTTTTCATTGTAAAATTGTTAAGTGCTGAGATAAAAATCATTTCCACAGTCAACAGATTTGGCCAGTAGAATTAAATAAAATGAAGCTCTTTCTAAAAATCCTAAGAGGATAAAAAGCTTTTCATATTGTGATAGCAGTAGACAATGATTTCAACCTGTATTCTAACAACAAGGGAGAACAGCGAGGGTTCGGGTATCTTTTATGTGTTGTTTTATCCTAATTTAAAACCCATGGTCCCTCAAAGGACAGAACACAGGACAGTAAAGTCCCTTCGTGGAGAGGGGTGTTAAGAGGAAGACAGGATTCTCCCTGAATGCATAGCACCGTATGTATTCCACCTCCCAAGTCTTCTTTCTCTGTCTCAGATGCATTTAGGTACATAGTTAAGTGACAGAAAATCATTTTATTTGGAAATGAGGACAGTACAAAATATGTTTCCAGTATTCATGTGCATCTAACATTAGATGTCCTCTAACTAAGTTCTGATTCTGCACTTGTCCCAAGGTGAGGTTAGGCCCGAGAGTGGCCTGTGTGTGAAGCTCCATGTGCACACTGCAGAGAGGCTCACAGTCCCAGTCCTAAAGCCAGATGCATCCAAAGACTTCTTCACAGAAAAAAGGATGGTAGCAGGAAGAATAGGAAAGGAAGAATCATTGCAAAATCATCAGATACTTATATATTTATAAAAACTCCTGAGTGTGTACTTGAGAATCCAGCATTCTAAATTATTTTGGTAATATTTAAAATATATTGAATAAGAAATATTATTTAGAATAACAAAAATAAAGATAATGTTAAACATAAGTACTTTTAAATTATCTTCTAATAATCACTACCAAATTCAGCATCTTTTACCAATACATGCAAAATGAGTTGCTGTAGTTATGTATTTTTATATTACATGGTGTATATATCTGTCTCCCTAATATGTGCCACTCGCATGCACATCACCAAATATGTGCATTATTTACTTAGAGTCTTTGAAGTATATTCATAACATTTCTAAAGAAACTATTTTCTCTTAAATCATGCTATTTATGATAATTGGAGGGTATATCATTTTATTTATTTACTTATTTGCATAGAGTATTTCTAACCTAGCAGAGTTGATGATTTCTGTTTTCACACATTTGAGCATATTGGTTTGGAGGGGGAACTGACACTGCTAATTTAAGAAGTTAGCAGTGTTTTCCTAGTCTGACAAGCCTACTCTGGTAGTATAACTATAAACTGTGTGTGTCATCAGTAGAGAAAATATAAATCATAACTGATTAATGGAATCTAATAAATTAAAACTCGTATTTTTTATTACACTGCATGCTTTTTTATTTCTGGTATTAATCAGAATGTGGCAACTAACACTGGAAGAAACATAAATTTGTATGTTGATTTTTGCTTTGTTTTCTTGAAAATATAATGTGCTTTGGTCTCTGAGGTGCATCACTTACATTTGCATATAGTTAAACTTTTTGTATTTTAGTATGGATCGATAAAAATAATGTCTATATTTTATGATTTGAATAATGAGAAGCAGTCTGAATAGGAGCAGGCATATTTTGCAAAGGCTTTTGTGTTTCTGCAGCTTTATCATTTTAGTGACCATGGTTCTACCTTACTTCTAGGTGAAGGAATGGCTCTGTTTAAACTGTCAGATGCGAAGAGCCCTAGGAGGTGAGCTCGCTCCCATGCCACCATCACCCCAGCCCAAACCCAAGACCACCTCTGTGGTGCCGGCAGCAGCTGTAAGCAGACCTGCCCCACAGGCCCTGCAGGCCTCCCCAAAGAAGGATCTCACAGCCAAGCAGGATGCTTCTAAGGCCCCTGAGTCCAGGAAGCCCCCGCCACTTCTGAAGCAACCAACCCTACATGGTCCTCCATCCTCTCCAGCCAAGCAGCCTCCCGTGGCAGAGCCCTCCTCCAAGCCAGGCACCCCACCTGAGCAGGCCAAGGCCCCTGCTGCTGACCACAAACCAAAGCAGCCCATGATAGGAAGGCCTGCTGCAGACACCGAGTCTTCTGCACCAGCAGCAGGCAAGCCTGACCTCCCTAGCTCCCAAGTCCAGCCACAGGCTCCAGAGAAGACAGCCCCTCCTATGAAGATGGAGTCTGCCAAGCCCTCCCAAAGCTTCCCGCCAACTGGAGAGAAAGTCACCCCACTTGACTCCACAGCCATGCCTCGGCCTGCATCGGATTCAAAGATACTCTCACGTCCTGGGCTCAGCTCAGAGAGCAGAGATCCCAAGAAAGTTGATCCTGTTCAAAAGAAGGAGGAACCCAAGAGAGCACAAACCAAAATGAGCCCCAAACCAGATGCCAAGCCAATGCCAAAAGGGTCACCAACGCCCCCTGGCCCACGCCCTCCTGCTGGCCAAACTGCCCCCACACCTCTGCAGCCCCCAAAGTCTCAGGAGCAGTCCAGACGTTTCAGTCTCAATCTAGGAAGTATCACTGACACCCCAAAATCCCAGCCCACAACTCCTCAAGACACTATGACTGGGAAGCTCTTTGGGTTTGGTGCGTCAATCTTCAGCCAGGCATCAAATTTAATTTCCACAGCGGGCCAGCCCGGACCTCCTTCCCAAGATGGGCCAGCAGCCCCAGCTAAACAAGCTGCTCCTGCATTCCAGCCCTCTGCTTCTCAGGGGCCCTCTAAACCCACAGGACAGGCAACACCAGCGCCTGTGAAGGTCGCCCCTGTGAAAAAGGAAACAAAAGCTCCAGTGGCTGAGAAGGCAGAGGCCAAAGATGAACTAGCTCCAGCAGGGAAAAGAACAGAAGCGGACAAGAAGCCACCCCCTGCCAAAGACAGCAGACCTCCAGCAGCTGAGCCTGAAAAGGCTGTGCAACCCCCCACACTGGAGAAAACCCCCAAGCCCCCACCGGCTTGTCCGCTCTGCAAAACTGAACTCAATACGGGTTCTCAGGGTCCTCCTAACTTCAGCACTTGCACAGAATGCAAGAGTCAAGTGTGTAACCTGTGTGGATTTAACCCTACTCCCCACTTGTCTGAGGTAAGCACCATACTTCCTACATGCTTTTGTGTTGGTTTATTGTAGGGTATGTGAGGGCCAGATTTATAAGCAAAAAATGTTTCTGGGAAAGCAAAGATTGATATGAATATCTTAAAAGTTGTAATTATTTATTTCATGATTATTTTCTTATTATGAGTTTATGTTATTTGTACCTTTATGGATTAATGCAACACAAGGATATGTAATCAGTTGATGAATTAAAAGTAACAATGATTTAAAGACCCACAGACTGGGAGACATACTTGGTTTTCATGTGGAATTTCAAATGAGTTATATATTCTGTGCCTATTTTCTATAGTCCTTGTAGCCTCTAATATAGTTTTAAAAAGAAGTTTCGTTGGTTGCAGACTCATAAGCATATGAAATCTGTTATATACAACCACGAAAAACTTTGCAAATTAATGATGCTTTTGCCTAGGAAAAAATAGTGGTTCAAATGTATTATGTGTAGGCATTTACAGTTCTATTTGTGATATGATTTGACATCAGTATTTTACTAGGATCTGTGGAGAGGAAAAATAATGTATTTCTGTGATTAATATGCAGATATGTTGTATGGGGCAGCAGGAGTACTTTCCCTACAGTGTACATGACCAAAAAGTGGATGGTGAATCTCTGCCTAACACTATAGTTCTAGAAGAAGTGGTCCGTAAGCATTGACATACTCAGAGTACTAGACATATTTTGGATGTTGGGAAAGTTGGCAGTTAAATGACCACTTTTGATCTTACATAAATAACAACAGTGTTTTGATAAACATTCTGTTTATTAATTTAAAATGATTTGCTGTTAGACAGATTAAAAATATTTAAGGACTATTTCTCACCGTTTGTGATTTTGTAATTCATTGGAATGGAAAAATTGAATAGATTATAGCATCTTACATGAAAGGTGATTGTTTTTATAATGTTTGTGGATTAAATATTTTTAAAGAGCAAACCATAGACAATTTTTATTTTTTACCTTAGAAGCACCTTAAGTTACTTTGACCTAGTTAACACCACGTGAAAGTATTGTCACTATAGGCATAAGGAGATTTTTCTCAAGATCCACTTTAAAGGTTGATAAAATTTGGATTCTCTCAGCACTTCATGAGTGGTAACAGTTATAATTATTATTGGCAATGTTTTGGGTTCAATATAAAAGCAAAACAAAAAGCATTAAATTTTTTTCATATTTTTAAAAGACTAAGTTTTTGATTATTCATTCATGATGAGGAAAGTTTTCTTAGTTTCCCAGTATGATTGCATTATTTTAAATATTCAATAGATTATACATTTAACAAGGAGCCTTATGCTATCAATACAGTACAGTTAAATAGCTCTAAAACAAGTTGTGCCAGCAAAAACAGAAATTTAATTTGTAAACTTTCTGTGCACTAAAAAAATGTGAATGTAGAGCAAGGGGAGATCTATAACTTATAGTTGAAACATGTATGCATGTATATATATGCATATGTACATACACGTGTGTGCATATTTTGACTCATAGTTACTAGAATTTGTCAATGTTGTAAGAGGGAAATAAGAGCACTTGGGTAGAGAGAGACAATAAGTCTTCCAGGGATATCTTTGATTTTCTGTGAGTTGGTAAATTATACTTTGGGGCAAGTAATTTGTGAAGATTTCTTGAATGAAACGGAGAATCAGTGACAATGTGTGGAAGTATGAACTGACTCGAGTGTTCGGACAGTTTAACTGATGTGATGGAAGTGATGAGTCCTCTGCTCACCTCAACTGTGCTACTCTGTTGTTTTCAGTAAGTGCTAAGGTCTGACCTCAGGCTTCAAGAAAGTGCGGAAAATTCATGAAGTCAGTCTATGCTCAAATAGTTCCTATGATGATGACTGCAAGGGATATTGGAGGAATGGCAGAGGGATTGGTTGAAAAGAATGACACAAAGTGTTTGCACATGTGTGGGAACATACATTCATCTTCTCCATGTGTAAACATGTATACATGTGCATGGGCACTAATACGGAGATCGGTACATAGCCAACACATTCGGAATGCCATTCATAGACTTGTGGAATGAGGGATGTCAGTGTTCCTACTAAAGCCTCATTCCTCATTTCCCTCAGTCAGAAGTTAGGAAAGCGTTTCCTCTTTGACTTGTCTTCTTCCTGTTTTCTTCATTCTGCTTGTGATAATTCCCTCTTGACCAGTGTTTTCTGCTGCTGACTACTGTACTTCACATGAGTTTCAGGCAGGATGTTCTGAAAGGACTCAGACCTTTCTGCCTGAACTGCAAAGAGATGATATTCCTCTAGAGGACTTGGGGGTTTCTATTTGTTCTCTGGACTAGCATATCTAACGCCATCCTGAGCTCTACCTCTCTTGTCCTCGTCACTGAGGTAGGACATCCTTCCCTTTCTGCCCCTCTGGTGGTGAAAAGAGCTGTTTGCCAGGCGTTTAGCAGCTAGAGCTGGTTCCCTCCTGCTCACCATTCACCAACGTGCCTGTCTCTAGGGTTGCTTCCTGGCCCTTGGGCACCATGCCTCATTGCCCTAAGCAGTGCCCAGGCTCCAGCAGGCCTTGAGTACAGCCAGCCTTCTGCCTAAGCCTCACTGTTTAACTATTTGATGGCAACTTTGGAGAAATGATGTGGTCATCTCTTAGCAAGGTGTGGATCTTCTAGGCTTTGATTCCAGGCAATATCTTGTCTTGGAAGGAGTTTTAGAAGTGGCAGCAGGGCTTTCTAAAAGAGCTGGTCTTATGGAATCTGGACACAAACTGAGATAAACAGCCTCAGTTGGCAGTGGATTTACCAAGTGAATTTTAATCATTCTGGTTTAGTTCAAATGCAGAAGGAGCCAAAATTACTCATAGTGGATATTTATTTTATTGTTTTTGCCACTCTTTTTCTAAAATAACTATTTTACTATGAAAACAAGACAAAATGAAATATTTCCTTATGTTTCAGTATGTTTCAGAGTTATAACTTTGTTTCTTAGCAAGATTACACATGTCCTATATGATGTGGAAATAGAGTGTATCTGTCACTAGGAACTGAGTGAGCCCTTTGGGCTGATTAAGACCTGGTGGCATGACTGAGATCTCTCTAGCTGGAGTGATTCCTGCACTCTCCACCCAGTATTCACAGATGACCCAGTAGGATGAGCTTCATTGCTTAGCTTTGGAAACACGTGTCTTCCCTTTATGTAATGAGCATTATTTATAATTTAAAAAGCATACTTAGTACTAAAATGTATGTGAGAACACACCTGTACACACACACACACACACACACACACACACACACAAATTAAAGACTGAAAGAATTATCAAAAGTTATTTTCAGTCTCTTTGCTCTCCTCTTCCATTTTTTAATTGAGCCATTTTTTTCTATTGAGTTCTTTATATATTCTAGATAGTAGTCTTCTATCAGAAGATTAGCTAGCAAAACTGTTCTCCCATTCCGTAAGTTGTCTCTTTACCCTGTTGTGTCCCTTACTGTGTAAAAGCTTTTTAATTTGATGGGTGGAATACTATTTGTTGATTCTTGACATTATTTTCTGTGCACCTAGAGTTCTGTTTAGAAAGTCTGACTTTTCCTGCGGCCTCAAGAGTTTCTCCTGTGTTATTTTAGGCAGTTTCAGAGTTTCTGTATCTAGGTCTTTAATAATTTTGATTTGATTTTAGTGAAAGGTGAGAGATAGGAGTCTAGTTTTAATTTTAGGCAAATAGATACCCAGTTTTCCTAGCACCATTTGTTAAACAGGCTGTCTTTTCTCCAGTGTAGGCTGTTGGCTTCTTTGTCAAGAGTCAGACGGCTGTGGGTGCATGGGTTGTTTCTGTGTCTTCTGCTAAAATGTTTGAGTCCCAAGTCTCCTCCTAGATGTAAGGCAATCTCTGCAAGCTCCTGTACAAATGAAAACAAAGTTAAACACTTCCAACAGTCAGTGGCACAAGATAAACATTTTCATTCCAAAAGTTACAAATGGGGATACAAAGGATTGAGAACAAAGCAAGTCCAGAATCCAGCAGGCAAACATTAAGTCCTGTAGTTCCACATCCTGCATCTGAAGGAGTCTGTGGCAACTTGGGAGTTTTAAAGGGCTTGGATGGCTCTAGCCCTATGGCACTTCTTGTGGTTGTAGCTTCCACAGCTGCTCTCTTAGGCCCGCTTTGCTCCTTCCTTGCAGCTTTCCTTAAATGATTCATGTACCTGGCTTTTCCAAACTTCTGGGGTCTCCACTGCACTTCAGGCTTCTCACAGCTTCATACACTGCCCTCTCAAGGGCACACTGCTTAGTCTTCCAGGCCTTCTGAAATCGAGATGGAAGCATTTTTAACCCCATAACTTTTGCATTTTGCATGCACCTAAAATCTCCACCATGTGCATGATGCCAAGGTCTGCTGTCCACTAGAGGAATATCCAGGCTTTTTTCTCACTTGGCTGTAGGGGTCTAGTGCCTGGATCACTGGGCATTCTGAATCCAATTCTGAGGAACAAATTTTCTATGTTGCCGCCATTCTGGAACATGGGGTGCCTGCCACCATTCTGGAACATGGTCCTCTGAGGATTTCTTCTCAGAGCAAAGTCTTTCACTTTGGCAGTTCTGAGGCTGCAGAGGGTAGAGACTTGCTATTTCTTGTGATGCCCTCAGGCCATCTTTTCTATTCTTCCATTCCTTCTCAGCAATCCAGATCTCAGTTGTATGTTTGTAGTCCACATCTTTGTGGAGCTTCCTATCTGGCCAAGCTTACACTGTTTTAAATCATCATGCTGGGCTCTTTGCTCTTGATTCTCAGCATAAATCTGGCTAAAAACCCCCAACAGTAGCTATGCCACAGCCTCAACATTTGACTGCTTTGAAACTTCTTCTGCCAGATTAAATTAGTCTACCACCCTTAATCTCAGCATGGCATAGGTGCAACAGTTCAAGGCCACAGGAGACAGCAAAATCAGCAAGAGCAAGAAAGAGGAGGCAGGAAATATGCCTCTTTTCCTCTCTTAATGGGCATTACATTAAGTATATCATCACATTGGTGTTATTGCCAATTTCATGGCATTAGTTCTTATCCAAGAATGAGAGATATTTTTCCATTTTATAATCTCCTCTTTATTTTCTGTATTTGGAATTCTGTACTTTTTATTATACAGGTGTTTCAATTCCCTCATTAGGCTGATTGCTAGGTATTTGGTTTTGTTTTAGAGTTACTGTGAATGGGGTTGTTGTTATCTTGATTTCTCTTTGTTGGTTCATTATTGGTATAGAGGAATGCTATTGATTTTTTGTGTTGATTTGGTATCTTGCTGATGGCACTGTTTAACTAATAATACGAAAATGTATAACATGGCCTCCTGCAAAAATTAGCCATGAAATTTTAGGAGGTTTGATATTTTTAGATTGAGTAGTACTTAGTAAATATTGAACTATGGATTTTTAAATAAAATTATTTTATTTAGACTTAAACAAAAAAGTAATTTCCCCAACAGTTCTTGTTTTTCTATCATTTTTTTATTTCAAAAATAAAAGGAGAAAAACATTAACAGACAGACAACCTTTTACAAAATAGCAAAAGAACAGTACAGACAATACAGTTACAAACAAAGTGGTAGGAAATGAACAATGCTTGTTGTATTACATACTGATATCTTCAAAGTGGTTTCTCATGAAAACAAATAGAGATATGCAATATTGATCAATCAAGGACTTATTAATAGTTTATTTCAGCAAAGAAATAGAAGGCGGTAGATCAACTATGTTAACTATCCTGTATATACATACATACAAAATTTCTCCTTCTTTCCCTTCTCTTTTCCCACATCCAAGTTGCCCTTTACCCTTGAGCATTTTCCTATCATTTCACAATGTCTATCAAACCTCTGAGTTTTTATTAACTCTTTCAGG